AAGAAGTTTTAGAGCAACCCTCACAAATAGCTACTAACAAAGCAGAAGCCTTTAACGATAAACCCTAACAGCAGAAGCAAGGAGTAGCCCACTTTTTTGCCGATTTTGAGCCAGGCAAACAGCGATTTCCCGACACCTGCATGGGGATGTTGAGGAAATTTGGGGTGTAGGGCTTTGGGTTTCGGAGCGCAGGGTTTAGGTTAAGGTCTCAACTGTCAACACCTCGACGTTAGATCGTAACAGTCGGGTCTTGTGGGGCGATGCTGGTGCTTCTGGAAGATAAAAAAAAAAAAGCGCGACAGCCGATATTTCTGACATAGGCTATGCGCCTGGGATAAGAGGTGGGGATTGTATTCAGGATAACATGAGGCAAAACACGTGTGAGAACTCAAATGCTTGCAGCCTTGTGCTCAGACTTCCCTTAATACGTAAACTCATCCAAAAACCCTACGCCGAAAAACTTAAGGCCGAAACCCAGCACCTTAAGCCCTATTCCCTAATCGTTGAATCGTTGAACTTGAAAACCTTAATCTCAGACCTGAAAGCCACATTCAGGCCTGCACTTACAATCCAAAACCCCAAGGCTCAAGGGTTAGCTCTACCTGTTTCTGGCACAAAGCGGGAATCTAAAACATGCAAGAGGGCACTAGTTGGGTTTTAGGGTTCCAGGGTTTAGCGGTTTAGTGTTTACCGTATCGCGTAGGGTTTGAAGTGCAGGTTCTCCTGCTTGGGGTTCACTGGCTTGCTGACTAGCGCTTCGGCTTTGAGGGTAGTTTGGGGCTGAGGTTGTAACTTTAGGTTTCAGAGCTAAGTTTGCAGGCTTTGGGTTTAGAAATTCTATTTTGAAGTTTACTATATGTAGCTGGAAAATTTGGGGTTTAGGCTTAAGTTGTTAAGGCTTAAGAGTTACATTCTGGGGCTTGGGGTGTAGTGCTCTAGGGTTCGAAGGCTAGGGACTTACTGGGGCTTCGAGGTTAAGGCTCGGGGGCTTTAGGTTTAGGGTTTGGCATTTAGGGTTTAGGGTTTAGGGTTTGACATTTGAGGTTTAAGGCTCTGGGGGTTCGAAAGTAGCATGTGGCGGTCCTAGACTTGGTGTCTTGGGACAATTGAGAGGACGCGTAGCCGATACTAACTAGACTACCTAGACCCCTAAGTGGATCTTGGATCCCCCTTAAGGGTTCTTAGGAGTTACCCAATAATACTTTGGGGTGCCATATTGGGGGTTCTGTTTTCTAGATCCTCCCAAGGGTCTGGGTATGTCCGAAGCGTGACCGCAAATGACATGAGCTGGATCGGATTGAGCCATAGATTGCATAGCTTACTTGACTGGGTTGCTGTTAAGGAACTTAAATTAAGTTACCATAAGAGGTATATATAGTAAATAATAGAGTCTCCCCAATATAGTAACTCAATTTAAGTCCCTTAACAGCAACCCAGTACTTGAAGTTTTCCAGAAGAAACTCTCAGCCCCGAACCCGAAGCCCCTCCAGCGGTACACCCGATACACTGCTCCGCCGCACATAAAACCACGTACTTGAAGACTCATCAGTAATCATGCATGCGCTGCATGCCTCCTAAATTCAGCGGCAAAAAAAAGTTATTCAAGCTTCAACCCCACTTACCCAAGCATGAACCTCCAAGCATGCCCTTGTCAAGAAGAGCAGGCGAGAGGAAGTTTTCGAGGATTTGCTTAACATCGGGGAGGCCCTAGCGATGTGTCGTTTTGCAGATGGTGTTTCAGAGCTTCATAAAAAGACCATGTTGAACGACTGCTGTTTATACCGGCACAAGAGAAAACAATGACCTGGCAAAACGAGAATTCCTCAACAAAAACACAAAAATAATGACTTCCCGGTTGCTAGTACCACCGTCAGGACGCAGTACGCGCAGAAGTTTCAACATCCCTAAACCCTAAGGCCCTGAGGGCTGGAAGTTTCACAAAGCAAGAGGCCCCCAAAATTACGTAATTCCCAATTTGAATTCCATGTTCGGACCTCCAAGATTTAGCGTCAGTGTTTAGGGTCCAACCCTCAGACCCTGAACCATCAAACCCAAAGACCGCAAACCCTCAAGCCCAGCCCCAAACCATAATGCTGATGCAGAAAAAGAGCCGTTATAAACATTTTTACTAAAATTCCGACTGTTCTTACTACCCGGCAGCTTCAAAACCGAACCTCTGATGTTGTCAAAATGCGTGTTTCACCGCAGCGGCAGCTTCACTTTGCTGTTATTTCAAGTGGACCTATTTCGGGGCCTTTCTTTTCGACGCTTGCGCTTTTGAATGAAAACAGTGCGCCCGTTGCAGGCTTCAGCATTGTAACGGTTCAGGATTTTGCTTCGGGAACATGTCTTCGGCAAGATGAAAATTGCTGACCCTCGCAGTATTTTAAGCACTTGATAGTGTCCCGTGAGCTAAATGGAACTGAGAAATGGAAATTCTTGTGGTCTGACTTGGGAAATGCAGCATTGGCAGCCTAAACAGTATGAAGTTTCCCAGGAATTGTGACATGTTCTTGTGTCTGGGAAGGAAAACAGAGCGCCAGGAACATCCTTTTTCATGACAAAGTCCTGCTGAGGCTGCTCCCGTTCATCTTCCGAGTCAGAAACCGCGTAGGTTGCAACAGCGCCTACCCAGACCCCCTAAAGCATCCAAAAAATGGAACCCCCTAATAATCCCCTAGTTTCCCCAATGTAGTAATGGGTTCATGTTGCGGGGGTTCCATTTTTTGGATCCTTTAGGGGGTCTGGGTAAGGTTTCTAGGAACTTCTCTTGCCGAGACCACCAGCGCTTGTACCGCTGAGCTTCGCAGGCAAAGATAACTTCCATGACTGGCAGTCAGAACGTTCGGTAGGCGCACAAAATTCAGGCCTGTGGACCGTCGTACACACAAAGAGCTTCTAAGGACAGCTTCCAACTAGCGCACAGCCGTCCGAGCAGAGGGCAAAATTCCCGTAGGACTGCTGTACCTACAGGAATTCACTGATTACATAAACTCTAAACCCTCAACCCCAACACCCAACACCTCCACACCTAACCCCTTACCTCCTGCCCCAAAGGCAGTTGGAGCCTTCGCCAGCAGATCTCTCCAACATTCCCCAGGTCAGCGGAAAACTCCTCCGTGTTGATGAGGATTCGAGATGCAAGATTGTTGGGCTTTATGGGGTTCAGGGTCTAGGGTTTAGGGTGTTTGAGGTCCAAGGCTTAGGCACAAAAGCAGGGACTTTTGCCAGCTTCATGCTCGGGGCAAACGCGTTTTTGACGTGACGTTACGAACTACTACCCCGCCATTACCTTACTGGTGCTTAAGACGGAGCGGGGGAGTGAATATGGGGACTGTTATAGGGGTATTTTGGGGGAATAAATACAGATTATAAGGATCCACTCCCCCACTCTCCCTTAAGCACCAGATAGCATCAGTAAGTTGAATAACTTTGGGAGCCCAGATTTCCAGATGTGAAGTGCGGGTTTGGGGATCAGGGCTTTGGGTTTCTGATCACGCGGCTCGTGGCGCTTCTGCATTCTGCGACTCTACAAGTGCTACGAAGACCTGAAACAACCTGACTTTCCGAACCCCCAGAAACATTCAATTGAAAGGCTTACAGTTTCGGGTTTAAGTTTCAGGGTGTAGAGTATGAACCAGAGACCCAATGCCACACACTGCACACAGCAGCTCTCAACCAGTTTCTCGGCAACCCCCTTGATAGTGGATTCCAAGTTTGACAACATGTTGCATATAAGCCAGTAAAGAGAGAGGCATTCGCAAAATGAAAGGCTGCTGCATGACACCCGAAGCAAAAGCCTTCAGAGCTAATTAACCCCAATCCTTCCTGCTGGAATCCTATATCCTACGCGCCAGTGTTGCCAAAGCTAGACATTCTCGCCTGTAAAAACCTGAAGTGCCAGCCCGTCAAATTTCAATCCGCAGCCGAGGACTGTCTTTCCAAAGCCATCAGAACACTGAAATTATGGTAAAGTCTCCAAAGCTACATACACACAAAAAGCTACCATGGGACACAACGAATGAAGAAGTAGATGCCAACAGCGCAAGGAAAGTCAGCATCGACACATCTAGTCAAGCGTAGTAGGCTCATGCACCGTACAGAGACTAACAACAAGAGTAAACAAACGCAATTAACTGCATTCACTAAGTCCGGACACGGACTGCGTGAGATGACGAACAAAATCATGATCTATCATCACGAAACCGTAAACCTTGAACCCCTGGACACTGAACGCCAACACAGTCCAAAGAAACTCTCTCAGTCTCCAAAGTAGGGCAGAAGTCCTCCTGAACCCATTCAAAATTGACAGTAGTCTTTGTCGGCCGCTTTCAGGCTTCCAAGTCAATTTTGGTAAGTGTGGTACAAAGGTCTCCATAGTCACCGATATCTTGTTGGTGTCACTTTCAGCTACCCTATACCATAGTCATGAAACAAGGAATCAGGAAGCAAAGTATTGGTGATCATGCCTATTAGCCCTTTTACAAGTCCAGTCTCATTTCAGTGTCCAAATTTCCAATTGAATCTCCATTAACCAGTATACATTAGGCAATTACTTCGGCAGTTGAACCCTAAACCCTTCGACCCTAACCTAAACCTTCATTGATCCCTCAAACCTTGTTGAACCCTAAACCCTAAACCCTATATCCCTCTAAACCCTATATCCCTATACCTATAACCTGAAAATCCTATAACCCTGTAACACTATAACCCTAATACCTGAAACCAGTTGAGCAGCCACAAGACACTGGCCTTTTGTTAGCTGGGAATGAAAATGTACCCTTGCAGCAGTCCCTATATAACACATTATAGTGGATTCCATTTTCTCTTCCATTTTTGCATTCCCACCCTTAACTCTAAACCCTGAACCGGTTCAAATATCCATTTTCTTTTCGGTTCCTTCATTCCCAGCCTAAACCCTAAACCCTAAACCCTAAACCCTAAATCCCAGCTAACCAAAGGCCAGGACAAGGACAGATCAATCTCCGACAAAGCTTCGCTCAGGTGATTTGGCGGCTCCCCTCCTGTGGTTAGGGTTTAGGGTTGAGGGTTTAGGGTTTAGGGTTGAGGGTTTAGGGTTGAGGGTTTAGGGTTGAGGGTTGAGGGTTTAGGGTTGAGGCTTTGGGGTTTAGGGTTGAGGATTTAGGGTTGAGGGTTTAGGGTTTGAGACTACGATGGACATAGGGTTAAGGGATACGGGGTTTGGGGTTTAGGGACTTTGATGTCTTGGAGAACATAAGTAACATAAGGGCACAAAGGGGAATCATCGCCTCAGCGTTCAGGGTTTAGAGTTTAGGGTTCAGGATTTAGGGTTCAGGGTTCAAGGGTTTCGGTTCGGGGTTTAAGGTGCAAAGGTTACACCTTGAAATGCTGAACAACGCTTGAAAACGCCGCTTGAAAACGCCAGGCGACTGACAACAACGTGAACAACTATTGCCACCGCCACCACCACCACTACTAGTCCCCTACCACAAGTGTAAATGGCCCCCCTAATGTATATACTCCAATCCGTGTTTAATATTGGGGGTGGTATTTATTTCCGGACCCGAAGATGGGGGGTATATACAAGCCCATGCATCTCGTTACCAGAAGATTTTGCCGCATATCCCTAAACCCTGAACCCTAAACCCTCATCCCTAAACCTTAAACCCTAAACCCTAACCCCTAAAAAGGGACGCACAATTTTGGGAACTATCCATGCGCCACAAAAGGCTGCTTCTGCTAATTATACCCATTCCGAAAGGGACGTGTACTTGGCAAACATGCACAAGGCAAGCTTTCGCATACCCTCTGAGAAGCTAATAATTAGCAGAAGCAACCTTTTGCGGCGTATGGATAGTTCCCAAAATTGTGCGTCCCTTTTTAGGGGTTTGGGTTTAGGGTTTAAGGTTCAAGGAACATAACATCATCTATTTTATCCTCTTGCCAAAAGTAGACCTAGACCCAGACCCCAAACTTCAAACCCTACATCCTCACCGCTCCGAAGCTTATACCCAAAACTCCAACCCCTACTCCCCACAAGTGCCCACCCCTAGGGTTAGGGTTTAGGGACCCCACTTTAGCCCTGAACCCTGGACCCAAGGGGCCTCTGGAGTCAACGGACCGTAGGAGGGTGCCAGCGGGGGAAGAAGCGGTGCGGGCAGCGCCCAGACTCCACGCAAGTCCGTGCCGATGCTGCTTAAAGAGGCCTAGAGTTGGGGCTCAGGGGTTCAGGGGTTCAGGGTCTAAACCCTAGACCTCTAGGGTGTGAGGCTCAGGCTTCCTTTCTTATCTAGTTTGGGTGCATTTGGCAATTCAGACTCAATGTTTAAGGTTTAGCCCCAAAGCCCTAAACCCTAAGTCCTAAACGCTAAACCCTAGTCTAGGGTTTAGGGATATAGCTGCCGAAAAAAACGTCCGAGGCGGTCTTTCCTCGGGCGTCTACTATCCTAAGGTCCTGAATATTCTTTGGATGGGTGTTTCCAACGTAGCTCGCAAACGGGCTGCTGCTCTTTAGGATTTGGGGGGTTTAAGTGCCGAAGTCTGAACAGTCCGGAAATTAGGGTTTAGGGTGTAGGATTTCGGGTTATGCAGCTCAGCAGAAGCTGCCAGTTGCATCGCGGTTCAGGTTTAACACTATCTGGGGCTGTCAGGATGCCGTAGCTAATGTAAGCAGTAGTAGTAGTAGTAGTAGTAGCAGCAGCAGCAGCAGTCGAAACAATAGAAATAGAATTGGCAAGAGAGAAGTAGTAGAAGCCAAGAAAACATTAGAACTAGAAGTAGTGGCAGCAATGATAGAAACCAACGTATAAATAGATGTGCTATTGCCACAACAACCATCATGACCATCCAAACCCTTGCCCCCGCTAAACCATGCAGCCCCTCAAACTTCAAACCCCGACCCCTAACCCTAAACCCACAAAAATAGTTCCCATGAATCCCCTATATAACCCTTCTTTAAGGAGTTTAGACTATGGCTGCCTTACCCTAAACCCACCAAAATAGTCCCTATGGAATCCCCTACATAACCCTCATTAGACTATGGCTAAAGAAACCCTCCTTTAAGGAGTTTAGACTATGGCTAAAGAATCCCTAGATACTTGTGAGTAGCTTTTTTTTGGTGGTTGAACCCAGTAAGATTATATTCCTTATATAAAATCCTATACCCCAAAAGGAGGATAGAATGGGTACCATAGGATCCCCAAAAAAAAGCTACCCAAATAACCCCTATATAATCCCAGTTTCCATTTCATTTTCCATTTTCTTTTCCATTAGATTCCCCATTATAAGGCCCTAAACCCATAGTATTGGGTACCATAAGCCCTAAGCCCTAAGCCCTAGGTCTTCAGGGGTAGATCCCTAGATACTTGTGAGCCAAGGTACAGAAGGCAGGGCTTGAGGAGCAGCTCCTTCCCAAGTCCTCGGCGGACCTGGGGTGAAGAGGGTTTAGG